TTCCTTCCTTCCTTTCTTTCTTTCTTTCTTTTTCTTTCTTTCTTTCTTTCTTTCTTTCTTTCTTTCTTTCTTTCTTTCTTTCTTTCTTTCTTCTTTCATCCAGGGTTGGCAACTATGGCCCATGGGCCAAGTCTACCTCCCCACGTTCTCTGTTTTGTAAATAAAATTTTATCAGAACACAAAGATGCTCACTTTTTAATGTGTTGTCTGTGGCTCCTTCCCGACTACAACGTCACCACTGAGTAGTTGTTATGGAGATGGTATGGCTTGCAAAAGCTAAAAATTCTCACTCTCTGGCCCTTTACAGAAAACGTTGGTTGGATCAGGCTGTTTTTATGAACCTCCAGAGACTTTCTAAGACTCAGTTATTCAATGATTTAATTGGAGGACAGGTTCTCCTGATTCTCGGTGAGAGAGCAGAAGATAGGACTGGAAAATTAGTTTTATTCTATACTGAGAGTTAGGACAGCACTACTGTTACTTATCTAGAGGGGATTTCAAAGGTCCTGGAGAAGAAGTGGGGAGGGTCAGATAAAAGATTATCAGGTCCCTTTTAAAACAAAGACCAAAAAACATTTCAGATCTCTGAATCAGAAGCAGTGAGCTGGGCAAAGTGGTGTGTACCTGTAATCCCTGCTACTCAGGAGCATGAGGCTGGAGAATTGCAAGACCAAGGTCAGTCAGAATTCTATAGTCTATGGAAATGAATGATGAATGCATACTGGTATGTACGAAGGAAAAGATCTGGAAGGCTACAGACATTTGGCGGGTGGTTATTTTTGGTGAAAGGAGGAGGAGGAGAGATAGTTAACTTGTCACGTCTTCTGTAGTATGTGTTTGTATATGTGAGTATAACTTTGCACATTTTGTAATGTAGAAAATACACATATAAATTGTGTGTGTGTGTGTGTGTGTGTGTGTGTAAGAGACAGAGTAACTCCTTCCCCAGTGTGTTTAAGAATCTTTCTGGGATGATGGATGCAGCTGTTCCTAGTGGGATGGTTGACTTAATGACCTCACTTGCCCCTGGCATCCAGTCCATGATAGATAGGCTGCCCCAAAGTCCTCAGGCTCTGTATTCCTTTATGTGAACTGAAAGAAACATTCAGAATGGAGTAAATACTATGATTTCTGCAGAGGCAAATGAATTTCATAGCTGTGTTTGGAGATATAATTGCAACTCTTTTTCCATTTCTCAGGAAGCTAGTATGAAGACTCGGTTGCAGATGTCAGAAACTAGTCATGGAACATTTCAACTTTTTTCCTGAATTGCTGCAAGACATAAAGAGATGGCTGTTTTTCTTTCTATTAAAAATTACTAGTAATACATCAAACAATATAGATGTGTACAAAATAAAAAGTGAAAGTCCTCTTCAAATCATACTTATCAGGGCAATGACTACATAATACTGAACCATTTATAAGTAGATATGTTTCCATTCATATTCAAATATTCACTTTTTAAAACAAAATGGCATTGTGCTACATTACATTTCAGTTAATGTGTCTTGGGTCATGGAATATATATTTAAATTCTTTTTTTTTAGGTTTTTGCCATAGAGCACATGCGTTCCCTGGAGAGGGAGAGAGACAGAGACACAGAGAGGGAAAGTGATAAATCATCTCGGGGGAGGGGGCAGAGCATGCCACAATCTCTTCTCCATTCTCCTCTCAGGATTTTTGGAATGCATGCACATGCACCCGGAGTGAATTCTGAGCCACCAGGGACTCGACCACAGTCAGCCTTGTGGGAGTCCAACACCTTAACCACTGTGCCATCTACTGGCCCCATTTCATTCATTTTAATTGCTGCATAATATGCCACTGTGTGAGTAATCTATATATATATACAATTTATATAATAATGCTTGTGTGACAGTTTATATAACATATATACTTGATATAACAATGTCTCTACAGATATGTAGGTTGGTTCCTTTTTCTGTTGCTGTTGTAGCGCTGCAGCACTGAATATTTCTGTACACAAATACTTAGGTTATTTATGCAAATACTTCTTTAAAATTGTAATCTTTTTAAAAAAGAATTATTTTATTTAATTTTATTTATTTATTTCAATTTGACCAGGGACAGAGCAAGAGGGAGAGAGAAAGTGAGAGCGCAAGCTGCCAGGTCCAGGACTTGAACTGTGGTCAGCCATGTGGGAGTCCAGCATCCTTAACAACCACGCCACCTGCCGGCCCCAAAATTTTAATCTTTTTAAAAAATAATTATATTATTCAACTTTATTTATTTATTTCAATTTGACCAGGGACAGAGCAAGAGGGAGAGAGAAAGTGAGAGAGCAAGCTGCTAGGTCCGAGACTCAAACTGTGGTCAGCCATGTGGGAGCCTAGCGTCCTTATCCATTATTCCACCTGCCAGCCCCTAATTTTTTTTTTATTCATGACAGAATGTATGCACACTCACATGAGAAAAGGGGGTAGGGAGAGAGAGAGGGGTGCACCCTCCATTCTGGTCATGCTGGGATCTGGTCATGCTGAGATTCCCTTCTTTTGTCATCCAGCTCATGGGATTTGGGGTACTTGCAGGAGCCCAACATGTTTCAGGCAGTTTGGACTGGGAATTCAAATTATGGTAGCCATGGGGATCCAATTTCTCTTGAGCATTGCACCTGCCGCACCATACAGCCAGCCAGTGCAAATGCTTCTTTTGAACACATTTAAAGGGCTTTGCACATTTAAAAGTTTTAAAAAATTATTCTTAATTTTATTTATTCATTTACTTTTTTTTTTTTTTTTACCAGAGAGACACCGAGAGAGAGAGAAAGTGAGAAAGCAAGCCACCAGGTCCAGGACTGGAACCATAGTCAGCCATGTGGGAATGTCCAGCGTCCTAACCACCACACCACCTGCTGGTCCACATGTACATTTAAATGTTAATAGTTATTAATTCACCTTCTAGAAAAAGGTCCTACAATTTACCAACTTAAAATCGGTTGATATTTTATTATCGTTTCTTTTTTCTCATTTTCCTAATTGCTATCAAGGTTGAGGATCTTTTCATGCTTATTGGACATTCTTGTTGCTCCTTGTTGGATGGATTTGCTTAATCTTTGCTCATTTAAAAATAGTGCTGTTCTTCCTCTTATTGATCTGCAGCAATGCCGTTTACGTTAGTTACTATCTCATATATTGAGACATTTCTAATTTATATGTACTTTTTATTATTATTGAGAGGTTTTTGCTATAGGGCACGTGCGCTCGCCAGACAGACAGATAGAAAGCGAGAAATCCCCCCCCCAGGGGGGATGACCACGCCGCAATCCCTTCTCTATTCTCCTCTTGGGATCTTGGGCACGCACGCACACGGCGTGAGTTTAAGCCACCGGGTCGGGACTCGTACCACAGTCGACTACGTGGGAGTCCAGCGACATAGCCATTACGCTAACTGCTGGTCCCTAATTTATATGTACTTTTGAGCACTAGGATGACTTCCACCATATACAGACTTAAATTCACATAGTCCAATCTGTTCTTTCCTATGCTTCTGGGCTCCCTGTTACGCTTTACAAACACATCTCATCCAAAGATTATCCAAACATTCCTTCTTCTTCCACCATTTTTAAGATGTTAGTCTCCATGCTTATATCCTCAATCTAACCCTATATAATTTCTGTGAAGGATGTCTAACTAGGGCTCTTCTCAATTTAACTTCTCCAATCTGGCTCTCAACGAAGGGGTTTCCGGCGAGTTTACCGATTAACGAAGGGAACTGACCACCTGGGTATTTCCCCCTTTCCGCATTTACATAGGCTCGGCACTTTACATAGCGTGTGATTTTATTCTCAAGAGAATTCTAAATCCCGATTTGTAGATAAAGAAATTGGACGTTACTCGGGGTAAGGAATCCGCTCTGCTAACATCGGAGGAGACCGCAGCAACCTCAAAGGCTACTAGAGAGCCTAACACGCCCAAGGCCACGCCCACCCTCCGACCTCTCGCGACAGTTGTACGTCATCCGAGCGCGCCGGAGCCGGGGCGGTCGCGCTGCTTGCGTCGTTCAGGGCAGAGCTCCGTGGTGCTGTCTCACCGGTGAGGCCGAGAAGCCGGCGAGTCCCGCGCTCTGTGGCACCTGCAGCCCCCCGCCTCCCGCCACCATGGAGTACCTCATTGGCATCCAGGGCCCCGACTATGTCCTTGTCGCCTCCGACCGGGTGGCCGCCAGCAATATTGTCCAGATGAAGGACGGTAAGAGGAAGCAAGGGAGGCCCGGCCCGGCCTGGGTGTAAGGGAGGCCGGAGGGAGTGCATGGGGGTTGGGTGAGTACTCGGGTAACCTGGGAGGTGGAACCCGGCGGCCCTGGGCTGCTAAAACCTGGAGGCCCGCCGACATGCTTAGGCCCTGACATCCCTTCCCCGCCAGGGCTCCTAAGTAGTGCTCTGTTCTGTCTTGGCGAAATACTCTGGATAGAGTTGCTTAGGGAAATGCGGGTTTTAAGTGTTCAGGCGTTTGCCCGGTAGTTGAATCTCCGCGTTTCCTGTTGTCGCTAGTTGTGCGGTGTGCTAACTGCTGGTGAGCTGGGGAGGGCGAGACGCCAGCGCCGGGAGATTGGGGGTTCCCCTCCGCTGCCTGCGTCCTCCTGGGGCTCAGCCGCGATCCTCTTTGCTCAGTTTTCCTTACTTTTAAGTAATCGGTGGAGTAACGAGTCCGGAGCCCCGTCAGTCGCTCTATGACTCCTCTCAAGTTGATTCGCAGTGCCATGTAGGTCTCTTGGATGAGCGGTTCCAAACTCTCAAACTTTTTGGGAGGTTTGAGTAAACGTTTACTTTAAGTTACATGCAAACACCTAGCAATTGACAAATAGTTAATAGCAATAATGCCAAGTAGTCACGTATCAGGTGCTGTGTTAAGCAATTTACGTGATTTCATTTAACTTTTTGAGGTAGGCACTGTTATAAATATACCACTTTATAGGTGTTAGTTCTGAACACAGAGGTTAAGAAACTCAAGGTTGTAAGTGGCAGAACCCAGTTTCAAACCTATGCAGTCTCGAGTCCGAATCTTTTGCCCATACCTACTATTCTTTTTTTAAAAAAGAATTATTTTATCTAACTTTATTTATTTATTTGCTTATTTGACCAGAGAGGGACAGTGAGAGAGAGAGAAAGGGAAAGTGAGGAAGCAGACTGCCAGGTCTGGGACTCGAACTTTGGTTGGTCCACTACTGCCTTTGCCCACAACTAACTACAGTGACAGGCATCTGACTGACTGGCCGTGGCTCCCACCCCCACAGCTGGAAGAACTCTGGTGGACTTTGCCTGAGTGGGGCATGTGGGGGTCCAGTTCCTTTAACCACCAAGTCAATTGCTGGCCCTCTTATCGTTCTATTGTTTTGTACCATGTCTGTAATAAGTACTCAAATACATAATTTTTCTAAAATGTGGTTTTTTTATATGCAGACTCTGAGAGTGTTTTTATGATCGATCATAGATGTGCTGCTATTGAAAAAGTGTGCTTTGGCTTAAGTTATGGAATGTTCGCTCAGTAACAGTAGTTTTAGATACTTTGTGCACTTTATAGTGTGAAGCACTGAGGGGGTGCAAAGATGAATAAGATGTGCCCTCGTGCAAATAATTATAACGCAGGCTAGAACTTGATAGGTCATATGGAAATGCACTCAAACTTCCCAGATGGTGCAGAGGGAAAAGAGATTCTTCCTGGTCGTAATGATTAGGGAAACCTTGAGGCCAGATGGCGGTTCATCTTGGGTTTAAGGAAAGAAAAATGACTAAATCTGAGGTGTCCTGAAGTATGTGAAGAAAGGCAAAAAAAAAAAAAGTCCACTACTGCCTTTGTGCAGTGACAGGCTTCTGACTGAGTGGCTCCCACCCCGGCAGCTGGAAGAACTCTGGTGGACTTTGCCTGAGTTCTGTTCTTTCTGCAGCAGAGAGAGGGATCTGACAGTGGTTTGTTAAATATCCGAGGTGTGAATTGTTCCTCAAGAGTCATGGCTTTCTGAAATTCTCTGATTAGTTTGTATTGCAGTAGTCCTCCTCATCCACGGTTTTGCTTTCCAGTGATTTCAGTTATATGCCATGACTCTGATCCAAAAATAGATGACTGCAATGTAATATTTTGAAAGAGACACTTCATTTACATAATTTTTTTTACAGTATATTGTTAAGATTGCTCACTTACCTTATTATTAGTTGTTTTTAATTTCCCACTATGCCTAATTTATAAGTTAATTTATATGGTTATCATAGATATGTATATATAGTAAAAAATATATAGATTTTGGGGAACCAGCAGTTAGTGTAATGGCTGTGTCGCTGGATTCCCACGTAGTCGACCGCGGTTCGCGTCCCGGACCCGGTGGCTTAGAACTCACGCCGGGCGCGTGTGCGTGCGTGCCCAAGATCCCGAGAGGAGAATGGAGGAGAAGGGATTGCTGCGTGACCATCCCCCTTGGGGAGCGATTTCTTGCTTTCTGTCTCTATGTCTCTCTCTGTCTGTCTGGCGCGCGCACGCGCCCTGTAACGAAAAAAACCTCAAAAAAATATATAGATTTTGGTACTACCCAAGTTTTACACATTCTCTGGAATATTAGAACATATGGCCTATGAATAGAGGCCCAGCAAATAGCATAATGGTTACATTGCTGGACTCCCGCATAGTCAACTGTGGTTTGAATCCTGGACTTGGCAACTTAAACTCACACAGGACACATATGCATGCATGCTCAAAATTCTGAGAGGAGAATGGAGGAGAAGGGATTGCGGTGTGGCCAACCTCCCTGGGGGGTGATTTCTCACTTTGTCTCTCTGTCTCTCTAGGTCTCTCTGGTGAGTGTACGCACCCTATAACAAAAAAACTCTTAAAAAAATAAACATGTGCTTTATGGATAAGTTTTTTTCTTTCTTTTTTAATTTGCTAGAGGGTGAGTTCTCTGTCAGACACAGAGAAAGTGAGAAAGCATTCCCCATGGGGGATGGTCATCCTTTAATTCATTCTCCTCTGTTTCTCCCACCTTTTGGCATTTTGGGCATGAGCGCATGCATGCCTGGCATGTTTTTCAAAATGCCAGGTCCAGAACTCATACTGTGCCATTGGCCTAGAGGGATCTAGCCACCTTAACTGCCATACCTCTGACTGGCCCCATACATGGTATTTCTGTTACAGTTCTCACAGGGGGTGCCGCATATTAGATTTACTTCATAGAAAGGCCAAAGCGTTAAGAAAACAAGGGTTTCTTTCTTTCTTTCTTTCTTTTTTGGAGAGGTTTTTGCTTTCTTTTTTTTTCTGGAGAGGTTTTTGCTACAGGGTGCGTGTGCTCGCCAGACAGACAGAAAGCGAGAAATCACCCCCCCAGGAGGGATGGTCACGCCTCAATCCCTTCTCCTCCATTCTCCTCTCAGGATCTTGGGCACACACGCACACATGCCCGGCGTGAGTTTTAAGCCACTGGGTCCGGGACGCGAACCGCAGTCGACTACGTGGGAGTCCAGCGACATAGCCATTATGCTAACTGCTGGTTGCTGAAAACAAGGGTTTCAATACCACATGATGACCCTGTATGATAAAAAGAAGTATTTCTGGTTAGTATTAGGTTAGTTTTTTTTTTTTTTGGGGGGGGGAGTATGTTTTTGATGTAGAGTGTGTTCGCTAACCAGAGAGAAACAGAAAAAGTGAGAAAACACCCTCCCAGAGTGAATGACCATGCCGCAATCCATTCTCCTCCTGGGATTTTGGGCATGCACACATACACACCGGGGTGATTTTCAAGCCTTCAGGCCTGGGACTTGAACCATCATGGTCAGTCACATGGGAGTCCAGTGCCTTAATTACCACACTACCTGCTGGCCCCAGTATTAGGTTAGTTTTTAAATTAATCATTTCAGGTTTAAATTCTAAGAATGTTTAAAGATCACCATGGAATGGAAGAAAGAAGTATTTGAGTTCTCGAGCAATCCTTTTAAATAAGTGAATGCGACTCTAATTTTTCCTGTAGTCTTTTTCTGTTTTTTTTTTTTTTTTTTTTTTTTTTTTTTTTTTTTTATGTTTCAGGTTTTGGAATTAGCCAAAGACTTGGGGCCAGCAGATGGCATAGCGGTTATGTTGTTGGACTCCCACGTGGTTGACCACAGTTTGAATCCCAGACTTGGTGGCTTGAAACACACGCGGGATGTGTGTGTGTGTGCATGCCCATGAACCTAGGAGGAGAAGGGTTTATGGTGTGGCCATCTCCCCGGGGGGTGATTTCTCAGTTTCCCTCTTTTTCTCTCTCTGGCAAGTACATGTGCCCAAACACAAAGATCTCTTAAAAAAAGAATTACCTGGGGACCAGCAGTTGGCATAATGGCTATGTTGCTGGACTCCCATGTAGTCTACCGCGGTTCGAGTCCTGGACCTGGCACCTTAAACTCACGTCGGGTGCATGTGGGTGCGTGCTGTCCAAGATTTTGAGAGGAGAATGGAGGAGAACGGATTGCGGTGTGGCCATTCCTCCTGGGGGGGCGATTTCTTGCTGTCTCTCTCTGTCTTTTTGGCGAGCATACACGCTCTATAGCAAAAAAAAAAACCTCTCCAAAAAAAAAAAAAAAAAAAAGAATTATCTGAAGACTTTGTCTTAACCATTCATATAATTTTTTTAATTGCCAGATGGCATGTACTTATGAGAGAGAACGAGCCAGCCCATAGGGTATAGTCATGCCACAATCCCTTTTTCTCCATGTCTCCATCTTGTCAGGATTTGGGGTGTGCACACACACATGCACACACACACAAACCTGTTGTGTTTTTCAAGTCACCCTGACTGGGATTCAAACTGTGTCAGGCCATTCGGAATCCAGTTCCCAGTGCACAGACTTTAACTACCACACTACAGGGCCGCCCTAACCATTCATTTCATGAAGGAACTTGTGTAGCGTAGATAAGAACTCTGAAAAGTAGTAACCATTGGGACTCCTTTTTCCAAGTATAAAATGAGAATAATACTTCCAGTCATTTTTTAGTATGTCACTTTGTAAAATATTTTCATACTATAGAGAAGACTTGGAAAAGATTGCCTACTTACTAAATTTAAGTGTTAGAACTCTTGGTTTGGTGATACATTATATTTTCTGTCTCTTTCCTCTTGGCCTGTATAGAATTTCTTTCTTCCTCCTTTTTCAAAGATAGTCTCTGTCATGAAACTCCAGCCCCAGCCTCCCAGCTGGAACTATAGGCACTTGCCACACCTCTCAGCTCTTTTTAGAAAGCATCTTGCTGTGTTGCCCAGGCTGGCCTCGTGCTCAGTCTTCCTGCTTCAGCATCCTGGGTTGCTGGGATTACAGTTGCATGCCACCACACCCAGCCTTTGAGTTGACTGGGAATCAAAGCTGCGCCTCCCATGTGATCCCAGCCGTTGGAGTACAGTGTCTTAGCGACTCCCACGGCTGCTCCTGGAATTGGTGCTCCGGCCACGGAGAACTCTCTTTTCTGATTTCATGGAGAACTCTCTTTTCTGACTTGTTAGAGCTTGTATAATCAGCACTCCATTATGTAAGAGAATGTAACAGTGTTTTAAGGGTATAGACTTCATTATAGTTTCCCTCCCCTGTGAGTTTAGCAGGGGTAAGTGATATTGCTACCAGTTTCTGTGTTTGGAACTGAGACTTAGAGAGGGCAGATAAATTTGCCCAAGTTGAGAGTACAGATAGAGTCCAGATCATAACCAAGGTCAGTCAGGTTCTAGGCGGCTGGCTTCCCACAGTCTTTTCCATTGATTTCAGATGTGTAGCTCTTCTAACTTCCTTGTCAAGGACCAGGAAGTCCCTAGAAAATACAGGCAGTTTTCTGGACATGATTAGTGTCTTTCACTTGTGGGTTTTGTATCACCCTACACTAGTTATTGGATATACTGTTTAAAAAAACATTTCGGCCTTGTATTAAGTTCATTTCAAAATCGATCGTTTACTGCCTAGAATTTTAACCCTTCTTCTAAATGTGACGTGAGTTCTTTGTAACAAACTTCCTTTCCCACAAAATAGGAACAGCTTTTTTACTTATAAAAATAATGTAAACTTAGGAAACAATTTTTTTTTTTTACAAAAGTGATGCATATGAATTGTAGAAAATTTAGGAAATACTGATAAGCAAAAATAAGGTAATAAAAGTTCTCATGCTTTTACCACTGGCAAAACCTAGAATATTACCTTTCTGGTTCTTTTCTTAGCGTAGATAATATAACTGTAAGTGAATTTTTCTTTTATAAAGAAGTTTACTAACAATCTTTAAGTCGCCTGTATAACAAATAAAAGTGTGTTTGTTTAGGTGTTTTAAGGCACATTTTGATATTATCTGCAGGCACATTTTGTATGTTTTTTTCCCTGAAAGTATAAGAAGCCATATTACTGGTATCTATAATTCTCAAACACTTGTAAAGTGCTTGACTGAAGCATTTTGTTCTTTAAATCCTATTAAGGGATTTTGACAGTTCAGGAGCTTTCAAACAGGAAACATGTCTCCCAGGGAAGATTATTCAGCACTATTTGAAAAATGAAAAGTGAAAGTGAGAGTAAGATAGGAAGATTTAGGCTTTTTCTGAAGCTGCAGGACTGAATATGGAGTTTTCTTCCTTAGGCAGTAATTGCAATCTGAATATTTATTTATCTATCTAATCTGAATAAGTCTGGCTCAGCTAGATAAGATTAGAGTATTAGGATTTTTGTGAGGTCTTTTAAATAGCTTACTGTTAGAGTATTTGTTAAAATTTTTGCTTTGGCAGTTATTTTAGTTTTCTCTTTAGCTTTGGAAATGGAGTTGTTTTACATTTTTAAGTTGATTTATAGTCTCAGTTGATTTTACATTCTTTCTTGAGATAGTTCATTAATTTTAGTAGGGCTAGTCCTTTTCGTACATGCTTTTGTATATGCATGAATATAATAACTGGCATTTACTTTTAGAAACATTTCAGGACTTTGTAATCATGAACCTAAAAGTCATTGCCGTCAGCTAGCTTCCTTCAGTTTCCTCTGGTTTTCTGTTCTTTGCATTTCAGATGCAGTTAAGTGCTTTAAGTTATTAACATATTGGGTCAGGAAATGTCATGATAGGTTTTTTTATGCAAAAATGCGTCATTGACTTTTCCAATAACCCAATATAGTGTCAGTGTTCGTGTATATTCTCCAACTGAAAGTAATATTAATTAAAGGGAACCAGCAGTTAGCGTAATGGCTATGTCGCTGGACTCCCATGTAGTCGACCGCGGTTCACGTCCCGGACCCCGTGGCTTAAAACTCACGCCGGGCGTGTGTGCGTGCGTGCCCAAGATCCCGAGAGGAGAATGGAGGAGAAGGGATTGTGGCGTGACCATCCCCTCTGGGGGTTGATTTCTCGCTTTCTGTCTCTCTGTCTCTCTCTGTCTGGCGAGTGCACGCGCCCTATAACGAAAACCTCTCATAAAAAAAAAGTAATATTAATTAAATATGCTGATGGTTTAACATGGACAGTTAAAGAAAGAAATGAATACTGTTCCTATTTAAATCTTCTAAAAACAGTAATTGTTCAACATAGTAATTAATAAACTTGTTTGTGATTGCATATTAATAGTTGCCAATTTCCAGTAAGGCAATTTCTAACATTGTTTTTTTCTTTTCCTTTGAGCAGATCATGACAAGATGTTTAAGATGAGTGAAAAAATCTTACTCCTATGTGTCGGAGAGGCTGGAGACACTGTACAGTTTGCAGAATACATTCAGAAAAATGTGCAACTTTATAAGATGCGAAATGGTGGGTAAAACCTTAAAGAGTGTAGCTTTCTTGGTGTATTAGTTTGCCAGGACTCTTATAACAAAGTACCACAGACTGGATGACTTATCACAGCTCTAGAGGCTAGAAGCCCTTGCTCAAGGTGTTGGCTAGGTTAATTTCTTCTGAAGCTTCTCTCCTTGGTTGGTAGATGGCCATCTTCTACCTGTGGCTTCACATGATGTTCCTTCTAAGCTGTGTCCCTATTTCCTCTTCTCATAAGGATATCACTGAGGCAGGAGGAAGAGGAGACCACAGCCAGCATGGGCAACAGAGTTAGAGCTTGTCTGAGAGCCGGGTGAGATGCCGTAGGCCTGCAGTTGCAGCTGCTCAGGAGGATCACAGCACTGCAAGACCCTGTCTTTAAAAAAAGAAAAAAGTTGGGCCATCCTGTGGCTTGGTGCTGGGTCCTGCATGGTGCAACTGTGCAATTAGAGTCCCGGACCTGACAGCTTGAGAAACACACCAGGCACATGTGTGGGTTGGTGTGCACACAGTGTCCAGAATCCTGAAAGGAGGGAGGAAGAGGGATTGCAGCATGCCCGTTCTCCACAAGGGGCACTCTCTTGCTTTCCCTGTTCTTTTGTCTCTCTAGTGCGTAGACATGCCTTCTGGGAGAAAAAAAAGAAAGACACTAGTCATATTGGATTAGAGCCTACCCTAATGGCTGCAGTTGAACTTAATGACCTCTTTAAAGATTCCATATCCAGGGATATAATGACTATGTCTCTGGACTCCCATGTAGCCAACCGTGGTTCGAGTCCCGGACCCGGTGGCTTAAACTCAGGCCGGGCGCATGTGTGTGAGTGTGCCCAAGATCCAAAGTGGAGAATGGGGGAGAAGGGATTGTGGCGTGGCCATCCTTGCTGGGGGGTGATTTCTTGCTTTCTGTCTCTCTGTCTTTCTGGCGAGCACAAGTGCCCTATAGCAAAAACTTCTCAAAAAACAAAAAGATTCCATATCCAAACATAGTCACATTCTGAAGTATTGGGGGTTAGGACTTCAACATATGAATATTTGGAGGACAGTTCAGCCCCAAATGGTTTGTCTATAAATTTGGACTGAACAAGAATGTTCTCTTCTTCCGTTTTTAGTTTTGGTTAAGTTTATTGATTTCATGAGTGAGAGAGACAGATACATCCCCTTGATAGGGTCTTGACAACACAATCCACTTCGATCTTCAGCCAGCCCTGGATCCTGAGCACACACATGCCTGGCCTACTGGGGACATCTCCAGCCACAAACCAGCCATTTTCCCACGTGGGTCTGCCTCACAGAGCATGCTGTTTTACTGCTTGCCACCGTCCTAGCCCCTGTTTTGAAAAACTTAACTAGGCCTGACCCGCCTGCAGTGGCGCAAGCACAGGGCACCACTGTCTGAGACTTGGGCCAGGTGGGAGCACGGGTTGGTCCTCGGACCACCCAGACAAATGAGGCACAGTGATGTGTGCCGCAGTCCCAGCTCACTGGAGGCCAGGGCCGGGAGTGTGACATGGTGAGACTGTCAGAAGTCAGCATCTAGACTCTCAAGATTCTGATCCTTCTGATTCTAAAGATTTTTTACAAAAATATCTCAAAGCAAAAAAACCATTGTTCCTTCCATTGATACGTGGTAGATAAAACTAGCTTCATCCTGGAGATGGGATGGTAATGTCTGCCTTTTTTTAAGTGTTAGGTATTTCAGAGGGTGTGATTCGAGCCGAAGTAGTTCTGAATCTCAGCTAAAAACCTAAAGCTTGGCTTTACTATTA